AGCCTAATTGACATTTCCTTGGACATACAACTTTTATTAATTTTTTACCATACATTTCATTAACTTTGTTGATCCCGAAAAAACCAATAGCTTGCAGCTCCACGTAAGTTTCTCCTTACGTACTTGTAACACACTATTAATCACTCACAACCTTTTTTCAATAGCGACGGAAGAAACTGCAAGCACTCCTACAGTCAAGTGATATAAGAAAAAATGTGGAGTTTTGGTAGCAAAAACTGTCAAAAAGCGACACCACATTTGATATGGGGAGGAAAATAGTGAGAGCGAAATGGAGAGTTGGACTTATATTACCTTCTTAATGACAAAACACATTGATATATATAGGGAAAGGGATTGTTGATATGGGGCACGTGGCCTCATCTACCTATCAAGGTATCTTTTTCTAAGCGTCAATCAGTCACTTTATAGTGAGCGGGTATTTACTACTTCTTAATAGAATAGAGTTGATTTGACTCTTTGACACATGCTGCATAAACGTCTCATCAACCAATCAAAGATTTTATCTTTGACAGATCTTTGTATAAAACATCCCTTTGTGTGTAAAAATAAAAAAATAAAAATTGTGACTTCTAGAAGCAAGCGTTCCGCCCGCACCTGTCACTTGTGTTGACCTGAGTCACTTCAAGGCATCTGTCAAGGCCATATGCGTATGAGTGTTACGTTTCGCCTCGACATGTGGGTGTGACATGGTTGGTGATGTGGAGCGTGGACCTTGGTTTCATTAGTTGGCTAGCAGGTGACCTGGAGACTCGTTATGAGAAGCGTAACAAATTTTAATCAAAATCCGTTGAAACTTTTATCTAAAATCTTATCAAACAACCCTTTAATGCGACATCCTTCAAAAGTCACTTGTTCATTTTGCAGTATCATATGTATTTACCAGAGTGTATCACCTAATTAATTTTAACTTACTAGTGATTGCTCCATGGCATGTTGGGCAAGAAGGCCAAGTTGCAAAATCCGTGTTATTGAAGAAATTTCTATCGTTATTAATGGCAAAATCGACCA